ATCACCTCACACAACCGGAGAACCAAAGTCAATTATGAGCGACCCCTTTTGATAGAGCAATGTCAAATAGGTAGTGACACTGAAGTTTCCGGTATCGTGGCTCTAACGAGACATAGAGCTGAAAAACTGCCAAATAACCCAACTGCTGAAGGTTTTTTAGAGTCATTTCGGCTAGATCCAGGTCCGAAAAACTGAATTTTACTGTCTCTTTTTTTCTTGATGAAAAAAGTTTTGCCCTTCGGCAACGATATTTTAATACGATGGCGAAATATCAGTGTTGGCTAGTTCGGCCAAACAAAACGGTTTAAATCTAAACGAAACCATTATGGTCACATGAGTCTAGTCTTCAAATAAAAAAATCTGGTAGAAACTCTAATTTTTGGGTACATTATGGATCTTTGTAGAAAATGGGCCTTGGTAACTAAAATGGTTTAATTAGAAATTGTTTTAGGCCGCAAAACCTTCGAAATCACGGCTATCATTTGCTAACTTTTTTCGATGTTTTCTCAAAAAAAGCCATTACATACTTCTCATTTGATTTTTCACGGGACCCAAACATCCGACGTGTTGAATTTTTGGAGAGAAATGGGTCAATGTGGCCATAAGAGAATTCCTATGGCATATTGCGGGTCTTTTTTACCGGGAAAAACGCGTGAAACCCGAGAGATTTCAATAGTCTTAACGCATATATACAAATTTTTGTTTCAATCACACGTAACCGACCGACATATGTAATCGACCGATTTTCTTTGATAGTACGAGTTGTGGAAGGATTCCAAAAATTGTAAATAGAATTCGCTATTTGATATAACCAGCGTGAACAACAGCTATCTAAAATAAGCAGAATTGGACCTACAAAAAAGTGGTAAGCATTGTAAGTCGAATCTTCAAACAACCGTTATATCATATGTTCAGTAAAATGGAGTAAATTGAAAAGTTTTCGGATGGAAAAATTTTTGATTGAAACAATCATTTTGGTGTGAGAAAATAATTTTAGCCGTTTCTAAGTAAAATTTATTTTGAATTTTTCTGTTCGCTCAATGTGCACGCTAAAAATAATCACGTTCTACATCAAGAGATGAGATTGGCTGATACTAACTAACCAAAGTATTTTAATCTTGCAGTCTATCGGTTAGTTCTTATCTTTTCTAAAAAAACAATTGTCAAAAACTTTTGTTTCTAATCAGTTTAATTAATAAAAATTTTTATATGTAATTTAAAGTCATTTGGAAATGAAGAGAGTAGAAAAATGAAAGACAAAAAAAAAACGAAGGAGTTACGATATCTCAAGTCCGCAGTTCTAAATTCATCGACTAGTTTTTGTTTTGCCATGTGCAAATCTCGCCATGAGTTAGTCCTGTGCAGTTTAAAAAACTCGCATTTGACTAACTCGACTTGTTAATGGGTAAATTGTTGACTTCAACTGTTGGAAAAAAAAACACGTGTGCAGTTTTGTTTTCACATCAAATCAAACTTGCTCAAAAAGTACAATATCTTTTCTATCTTCAGAACTGACTATTCTACTATTCTCACATCTCAGCACAACTTTTTTCATTATCTTGTTTGTCTCGTTCGAGTTCTTCTTCTGAATGGCATGGTTAGGCAAACGCTTAAGACTTTTGTTTCATTTATAAAAGTGACAGTCTTCACTTAAAGCAACACTCAAGTGACTAGGATGATCTACAATTTCTATTGCGTATTCACTGAGAGCTCCCGATAACTGTCAACGAGGAAATGCCGATGAACATGGATAACCGAAGCTGCTGAAAGGAATTCGCGTAGGTTGGATAATGTTGCTAATGTCGAGTTGTTGCCCTCAGCTGAGTTACTTGCACCTTAATAATATTGTCGCAAAAATGTGTCCTTATATTGTTGGCAACTTTACTGGCGAAGGGGTACTGAGCAGTACCTGAATCGGAGAATCGAATGGTCGCAGGGTGCTCGCGAAGAGGATACCGGTTTGAGTATGATGCTCTCTTTGCTGATAAAAGGGGTGACGGACGGAGCTACAGGGTTAATGGAAATAACTGCAAAATTTGACGGATAACTGCGCTGCACTTAACACGAGCTTTCAGCATTCAACTTTTACTTGAGTGAAAAAGCTTTCAATAGATAAGATAAGCTGAAATATTGCAACTGACATTAGACACATAATGAGTATGAAGGCTTTAGCAATTGTTGTAATCACAAGATGAGACTGAAATATTTTCAGTTTTCAATTCAGCACGCAGGAGCTGCCATCAAAATTAGAGTGCCTTCAAACACTCATCAGACTCAATATAACCGATTACACTAGTTTTTTAAGTGGATCATCAAAAACAAAGTCCCTCAACGGCTGAAAAAATTTCCAATTTTTTTGTTTTCTACTCCTAGCTTTGTAGCCCTCTCATCGGTGAAGCGCTCCTTATCAGTAAAGCAAGTCTTGAATCAGGAAAAATGCAAAAATTATCACTATAATCAATCATTGAAACAGAATCATACTCTTTTCGCCATTAAACCAAGCTTTTAATACGTACTTCCTTGAAATTTCATATCACGTCTTTTTGTTCATTTTATCTATCATGGTTAGAGATCTTTTAGGGCGCAAGAAAGAGCATGTCTCTGATTCGACCCCTGTCATCTGGAAAAATGCAGTTATCTTATCAAAAAGATGTCGGCATCTGTTCAATGAATATCTGGGCAAGCTGAACCTGGCCGGCGCAACGCTGCGCGTCCTGTTGAGATCTTACCACAAGAACAATCTCTTCGTAACTAGCCATACAATTTTGATGAACATCTCAAACTTGATTCTGCAGCTTCTCCATCTCAAACTTATGATGCTATACAAGGATATACGCTTCCTCACGTTATATGCGAAAAGAACGCTGCAGCTGCTGCAGGAAAATGGCCCTAATCTTCTAAAAACTTCAAAGCAAATACCGTTTAGTTTCTGTTCGCAGTGGGTTACTATTTTGATATAAAAACTCCTTTGAACGCTAATACTTTTTTTGGGCTGCAGTATGAATCCTTTTATACTCAAACAAGGATCCATCTGTCTTTTAAATTGATTTGATCCGGTGTTGGGGCTTCTGGAAACACCGCGTTCCTAACTGAATTGGTAAGGAAAAACAGATTATTCTTCAGCATGGTTTTGTTGTCCCGAAAGGCCCGCCCAACAACGAAGTTTCTACTGTCCTTCTTAATTAGTCACTGGCCTCCGTATAGTACAATTGAAGACCCTGCGCTGACTAGACTAGGTTTCGGTTTTTAGCTTGACTGCAGTTTTTGTACTCTGTTTTCTCAAAAAAGATCTCAGTGACATTAAGAAGCACTCAAATCAATGTGGACGCAGTGTTTGCAGGTGTGTTTCAAATAACGGCAAAATCAATGGCACGGTGCCTGATTAGAGTAGAAACAGGACTTTTAACAATAACTGCGAATGAGATTTATAATGTGCGACTTCAATCTGTGTCTTTGTTCATGTGCGGTTGGAGGTTTGAAACAAAAAATTTGAAAAAAAGCGTTTTTTGAAACTAAAAAACAAGAAATACTTTAACAAATTTCGTTTTGAGTTTTTGTTAGAAAACCCCCCGAAGGCAATTTAAAGTACCCAGCGATGTAATTAGCTTCTATTCACGTTTTATTAGGACTAAACAGCTTGCTTCAGTTCAATTTGTCAGATTTTGAGTCGGGCTTTAACGAATTTTGATTCTTAAAGGACCGCATGTTCGATAGTTTTCCCAAGTTGGTCAAACGAATACGATATGGCAGTTTCGATATCAGGACGAAAAGCAGAAAGTTCCCATTGCCTTTTTTTATGAAACATCTTAGTTCTTTCTAACAGAAATATAGTTTATAGATAGATAATAGATAAAGAAGAAAAGGAGAAATACTAACCTAAAAACTCAATTTGAAGCGATTTCTGATTCGGAATAAATCGTCAGATCGCAAAAAATGCATTCTCGAAAATCCTAAAATTTTCACTAAAAGATCACAAGTCTTAAAAAATAAAAGATCTTATTAAATCAAACTCAAAGTTTCAATACTTTTCAATGATAGAAACTTTCTATTTAATAGTTACTAATATAAAATTGAATTTAGTCTGAAAAAACCAAAATGATTTCTCATTTTCCATCAGTTTCTGGGAAAACCGCAGTTATATTAGCTACAATTGGGAGAGGAAAACAGATGTCAACATATCAATTACTTTTATGAAAAATATGAGTCTGTTTTTAAATAAATACAGTTTTTTGGTCTCAGATAAAAATTTAAACTTCCTTTCATTTGTACTAACACAATTAAAAATCAGTTGAAACTGAGTGATCAATTTTGAATCATGATGGAAAAAGGAATCCAAAATTTCCCCAGCTCCAGCCTACACGGTAAACTCGGTAAAACGTTATATAAAAAAAACAACACTGATTGATTGAAACAACTTCATGCTTACTTTTTACTTTGAATTATTATAATGCAATGTATTTTGCATTGTCTTTTTTCCTTTGAAAAAGCAAGGTCGTTCGTGCCATTTTTGGAGTTTATATACTTCTTAAACTTTGTTGGGCTACATAAACAGCTCACTGTAAATTAGTTTTGTCAGCAATTGAAAAATTGTTTTGGTGTAGTTTTTGATTGACTAAAACATGCCAAAACACAAATTGCACCACGAAAATTCTGAAAAAACCCAAGCAAGATTTGTCAACATCATTTTTGTCCAAAATCACTCAATTCCAGAAAAACGTGTTTGAACGTTCAAAGTTATTCATTTAGTCCGGATAAATTAAATTAGCACTGTTAAATCAGAACTGTACAGCTGGAGTGATTGAAAATCAAGTGATTACCTCCGAGGTGAATTAGAAACGTAAAATTTTGATTTTTGTTTCTGTTTCTTCAGCAAACAATTCAACCCCAATCCAGCAAAACATTTTCTTCTTGTGTAAAGACTGAGAACCTATTAACTGAAGAGTTTTTCAAAATCCAGAAACCAGATAATAAATGCATATCAAAATAAATTATCACAACAATTACACAAATCCGTCAATGACCAGTGATGATTCTTCGGATGCTACAGGTAGCACAAAACTCATATGAGTCTTGTTTTGTTTCTGTTCAAAAGAGATCGAGGAAACAAAAGTAGCGCTGAGTCGAGTTGTCAAGAGAGTCTTCAGATCGTTTGCGATTAACACGGTATCTCGATAATCTCCGCCGTTATTTCTTCTCGGCACGAAGGATGCGGCAAGCTTCATGAGAAGGAACACTTGAGCAATGAATCGATGTTTTCTTCCCTTTGTCCCAGCAAGAATTCGAGGAAAAAGAGATTGATTGTTTGAAATAGTGATTTCAAAGATCACCGTTTTGAAGAGTCTTTTATCTAGCCTCAGATATTTGTCCAGAAGGAAAAAGTCGGCAATTGCAGCCCAATTTGAATTACCTTTGGTACTATGCATCCTGTTGATTGTTTTCTTTGATCTGTTTTTGAGAGTGTTCATAAAAACCTTGACTCGTTTTGGTTCGTCTTCATTGGTAAAGTAGTTATCAAATTGATTTCCTGGGTCAATAACTTTTGTTGCTTCTAGTTGTTTTGGTAAATTTAAGTCCAGCGACAAGTCAATTGAAAGGGTTTTCCAATTATTTAATGACTGCAGGAATTTTTTGAAAGCATCCATCAAAATTGTATTTGTGTCACAGTTGCTTGCAATTATAGAAAAAAGTGACGACGCACCCTTCTTTTTACCACTAGCGTTCATCAAAACCCAGAACTTTGCCAGTCGAGCAGCTTCATGGTGTAAGGCTGATTTCTGTTCCATCAGATAAGCAGACCGTTCCATAACAGAGGCCGAAATTATCAGCTTAGTAGCTATTCTTTTTCTCTCCGTGTGGTTACTGCTTAAGTTGGCAACTGCGAGCATAATTCTCTCGCTCTGAATATCTGCCAAGCTCTTGCCTTTAGACGCTGCAAGATTCTCTCTATCTTTTTGTGTGAGTGCATTAACACCAACCAGCAAATCCGCAGTAAATCCGTAATCAATCCATTCCAACTTGCATTTTTGGTCTTCAGGAAAGCTAACTACAACTCCAGGTAACTGTCTTGCCAAGCTTAGCTTCCATGAATTGATTACCCGTGCCTGAAGATCATCTAACTTCTGCTCTAGTCCTGTTGAACTTCTCCAGAACTGCTCGTCTACGTTTACAAACGCCACACAGTCAAAATCCAGGGTCGCCCAGCAACTCGTTTTCTGCTCGTCTCCGCCCATAATTCGGATTCTGTTGTAAGCGATATTGTCCGAGCATGTTTTGATAGCCTCAAACACTTTTTGTACTTCTCGATGTCCGAATACGCGTGCAGTTGGTGAAGGTCCCAGTTGCTCTGCAAGTACTTTCAGAGCTGCATTGAGAGAACAAGGTCGTAATGGCATTGACATCTTTTCGAGAGCTAAATCAAAGCCAACCTGATTATTAATAAACTCTAAGGGCTTAAAACGAAATTGCGTTAGCCAATCAAACTGAATTTAGATCTTCTTTTTAATTAATAGAAACATGGAAGTTTCGCACAACGCAAGATACAATTTTGGTAAAAATCTACAAATTATTGGATCTTCCAATAAATTACAAGAAACATATTATATCAAACCGAGCAATGATGTCCCTGATGAGTAAAGGAATCATTTGAATACAAAAATAAACCAGACTACGCGTATCAATGCGATGCCCAGATTTTTTTTTAATGTGAAATTTCGAAAAATAATAAACAAAATTGTTCATTTTTTTAATTGTCCCCCTTCCAGGTGTCATATTTTAAGGAGAACACAAACATGGATACATTTAGCATCTAGCAAAGTTTTCCTTAACGTATCAACTTCACAAATTGGTCTAATTGGCAGTTTTCATTAGAGGTATCCAATTAGAGGGTTGTCAGGGCCGGCATCCTGCTGCTACATCAACCTGCAATAACTTCCGCCAGACAACCTAACTGCGATTCATCGAAATTGTGGTGTTAGACTTTCAAAAACAAATGTTAGCGGCTGTAACGAATGTCATTTTTGCTCTTAAGTATGCACGTTCCTCCCTTGCTGAATAGAGATAGAAAATGAAGCTACCCTACCAGTGTTTTTCGCTCAGCTAAATGATCTTTCTCCAGTATAAAAATTTCTAAAATAATCTTCGATATAATATGAAGCAAGATCGTTATATCCACAAAGAAGAGAAAGTATACGTACACAATTAAAAACAGACCTTTTCCCAACCAAAAATTTGCCTTACAACTCAAATTGGTGTACACGGTTTTTTACTGTTGACTTGTGAACTCGAATTTACAAGTAACCGGTAAATTTATTGTCATTTTTGGCAATTATCATTTTTGGCAAAAAATGATGAAACTTAATAGCTACTTTTTCCAAATATGTTCGCTAATTGAAAAACAGCGGTATTTAACAAAATCTGAAAATAATGAATGTAATATTTCCTTTAGAGACCAATTGAAATTGGTATGTTTGCCTCAATTTAGCTCATCGTTATTATCCCGACCATGGTTTGGCTTATTTAGCAGGAGCTTTGTGTAATTCGGAATAGCGAAACTCAAACAACTTTAATAGCTGCCTGCATACACACTTTACATACAACTTGTTTGCAAATTCTTCCTTCTTTTTTATTTTACCTTAAGGTTCGGGCCGGAAGTAAACTTGTGATGATATTAACAACAAGACTGCTCGTATCAAGGCGAAGCCCTGAATGTTCCGACTGACTTTTAAGGTTTTATGGAGCAGTAATAACATCAAAAAATTGAATGTAATAAAAATAATTTTTTTTTCTAAAATTTGAAATTTTTCTATGAAAATCATCCCCCCACACGCCATATAAAGTACAAAAAGATAGATTTAGCTCCTTGTAACAAATCAATTATGGCAAATAAGCTTCTTTCAACTAATTTGGAATGATTTCTAAGACGGATTAACTCTACGCTTACGCGTTAATAGCGCGAAATATTTCCTGCGTTAATTGTCCCAAATTGGCCAAAATCTTTAAACCCCCATAATTTTCCGAAAAATGATCACAGGTGAAATATCTTTTCAAATTTGAGCTCAGGATAACAATAGCTTTCGAATGATTTTAAAAAAAGTCGAAATTTGTCTGAAGAAAAAAAAACCTACCCCGAGCACAAATATTCCGTTACTTTCGTATCGAAAGTCGGAACAATAAGAATCTAGAAATAGATACGACAAAACTGAATTAGAAGCTGAACAATGACAAAAAAAGTACGTAAAAGCAGCTATTTAGCAGTAAAATAAAGAAAGAATTAATTTGAGAAATCTGTGAAATGCAAATTTTTGACCGAACAAGCAAATATATTATTTGCCAATATATTTTGTTTGCTTTCCTGAAAAAAAAGCCTTTTACTCATTTTAAATGGTAACAAATTTGCCATAACACATGGTAACACGCTTGATTACACATGGTAAATTTCTAAGGCCAGTTAATTAAAAACATAAGAGCGCATTTTTGAACAGCTCGAAAATACCACCGCATGTAGCAAGATTCACTTCAATAAAAACATTTTCTAACCGCGCCGGATTTTCATGGATAAATATCGATTATAATGGAAAAAAAAGTTGCCTAAGTCATTGTCATTATACTCCATTATTGTTGCGCATTTAGACCAAAATCGATTATATTATGAATCTAATCGATTATTTTCGTATAAACTAAATCCGAACAAAAAATCCATTCAAATCCATTATAACCCATTCAAAACCCTTTATAATTAATTAAAATGGATCATAATCCATATATATTTTCGCAAAACTCATTTCAAATTTCTAATTTTTCAACAATTTCTGATATACTCACGGCATACTCGAATTCTTAGCCAACTCAAATGTTTAATTTTTTTAAACCATTTTATCTCACCTACGACGCATTTTCTCCGTACACGTTCACCCCTTCCCCCGTTCGTTCTTCCCCCAAGTTTATCAACCCCCACCCACAGTTAACCCCCACCCAGTTTACCCCCTCCCTCCTCAGTTAACTCCCTTTCTCCTCCCGCCACACGGGAGTTTACCACACCTCCCCACAGTTTGACCCCCCCCGCCAATTTACACCCCTCCCAGTTTATAGCCCCCAGTTTACCCATCCCCCCAGTTTACCCCCTCTCCCCAGTTATCCAGTCCCCCAGTTAAGCAGCTACCCACTCCCCCCCCCCCCCATTCCCCCAGTTCCTCCCTCCGGTACCCCCGTTGCCCGTTATCCCCAACCCCCCACCACCTCCAGTTAACCAGTTAAAACAAACCCCAAAAAGCCGTTACCCCATCCCCAGCCCCGGAGGGTGGAGGCGGTAAAGGTGAGAGTGATGGGAATGTAATACAGTTTTAAGCGGAAGAGGATGTAGGGTGGATAAAAAGTTGAGGAAGAGAAAAAAAGGCCAGCAAAGAACGAGAAACTAACAATTTATGAGAAAAGCTTGAAACAAAAATTGAAAATATGACAAGTATTTTTCAGCCGAACCAAATATCGTTTTTTTTGTATTGTAATCAAGTCAGAAACAATTGTTACGTTTTGAATATACTGCACTGTTTGGAATATTTAGAAAAATAAACAAACCAGGGCTGACCTCCAAACCACTGTATGTTAAATTGTTTGTCATAAAGTTTTCGCACAATTTCTAAAAATGGTTAAAAAAAGATGTGAACTAATTTCTGCGGCTGTTTGATTCTTATAAAACAGTCTGGTGTGGTGATGAAAAAACCGAGGTATTGTGTGACTGGCCTTTTTTCATGGCAGCGCAAAAATTTTTCCCAGTAAATTTGAAAATGCCCTAAAAATTTTTGTTTCTTTTTCACCGCAAACTTTAAGGTTTTGTGTGCATAACGTAGTCCTGGATACACTAATGTTGGATTTTTTTTCGCTCAAAAACTTCTTCCTAAAACACTGTAAACTCCTATTTTTTTGCTTGACATGTTTATGTATGCGTTGATCAATGTCTGATAACTTAACAATTCATCTTTTAAAATAGTGAACGTTGAAAAAGTTTACCAAAACTTTAACGTTTGCTCTTTTCGTTATATCATTTGTGAAACAGAGCTCTAAGACAAATCAGATCATTTTCTATGTATTGTAAATGCAAGTCTACCCACCTATGGTGCTTTAAGTAAACCAAGGTCTTTGTCACTTGCGTTTGTTTAATTTTCGCCCATAACTTTTCAAAAGTTAAATTTAGAAAAGAAACTTTAACTTTTTGGTTAATGGAAAAATACTTCGTTTTCATGGTTGGAAAATTGCTTATCATAGAGATTTAATACATTTTTCTGTACTTATTAAGTTGTATGGAATTGTACGGAGTGAAGTTTTTCATATGTGGAAATTGTATGGAAATTGAAAGAAGTTTTGGTCATTACGGGGAAAAGTGGTTTTTAATCAATTAAAATGGATTTAATTGTTTTGGTAAATTAAATTAGCACCCATTTTATCGATTTTTTCCCAATTCTATAGAGACATACAATGGATATCCAAAATTATCAATTATTATCATTGAAACTCCTATACGGTTAACTTTAAACTGTATGAAACAGGCAAAAAAGGTTAAATTGTGGTTCTTTTCTGTATTAAAGCTTTTGGAAAGTATCTCATAAATGCGTTTCTTTTAGTTTTCAATTGTTTCATTATTTCAAAAAAATAACAATTATGATCCAAATTTCAAGATAATGTAAACGTAAAGCTGGGGCCAAATAGCAGAAAAAAAGCCTTAAAACTCTTCTTTTCCTTCATTCTCTATCCGACCCATGAGTTGAAATTAATCGACCCAAAATTCGACCCTGTTCGACTCATGATGCGACCCTGTTTGACTCATGACTCGACTCTATGCGACTCATAATTCGACCATGTTCAACTCTATCAACCCTGTGTCGACTCATGTTTAGACATTGTCACACCTGTGGTTCGATCTTATTTGACCCTGTTCGACTCATGCTTCGACTATGCGAGCCTGTTAGACCCATGAGTCGACCCATTCGACCCAAGACTGGACCATGTTTGACTCATAATTCGACCCTGTTCGACCCATGATTTGACTTTATTCTACCCATAATTCGACTCTATTCGACCCATGATGCGACCTTGTTCGACCCATGATTCGACCGTGTTTGACCCATAATTCGACCCTGTTTGACTCATGATTTGACCCTGTTCGACCCATAATTCGACCCTGTTCGACCCGTGATGCAAACCTGTTTGACCCATGATTTAACCCTATTCAGTCCATAATTCGACCCTATGCGACCCATGATTCGACCCCATCGACCCATGATTTGAGTTTATTCGACCCATAATTCGACCCTATTTGACTCATGATTCGACCCTGTTCGACCTTTGACTCAACTTCGTTCAAAAAAACGCCATTCGACTGCCGTAATTTCTGACAAAAAATGGACATCTTTTAGTCAAATCACGAGTCAAACACGTCAACATGGGATCCGAATTGTTGACTGTTGTGGTGCTGATTGCATGTTCGCCTTTGCCCGAAAGACGTTGAAGGAGAAATTACAAAAGCCATGAGTTGAACTGGCTTCAGCGTTCTCTTAGGTGATCTTGCTTGGAGGTTCTGGCTGAGGACTATTACTATATTCAGTCGACAAGACGACGAGCTACGAATTTCTCGATTGTGCTGTTGAGATTATATATTTTCTCTATGAACTCCATTGATATTGATCGCCTGTTATGGAATCGATGCTATCTTGACCGATGATTTTTCCATCGGACATTCATTCTATCTTGCGGGGCGTATTAACGTGTATCTGAGACTATTCTGGAAAGTAAATTTTTGAAAGCGTAAATAAGATGATTTTTTTCGCAAACTTCTCTCGACTCATTGATAAAGTTAGTGTTAGTGATTTGTTCAAGTTTTGCTTGAGCTTTCTGAGTTTTTTTTATTTCAATCAAGGCAAGGCATTTTTAGATCATCTCAACTTTGCTGGGTTCGTGAAAACAAACAATCAAGGTTAATGGGTGCTTAGATTTTACTTTTTATCTTTTCTTAGGGTCTTCCGTGTGGATCAACGCCAATTGAGCAACTTCCGGGTGGACCAAAAATGCATTTCATGAAATTAAAAGGACAAATTGTGTGTTTTGTAATTTAAAATTGGATTCTGGATTCCTCGGCAGATTTGTCGCGGCATACGCAACTTTGCTATTTTTTATATTCTTTGCTGTTTTAGATTCCATTAACATATAGCTTAAACACTGTCTTGCTCAAAATTGCTCCGAGAACTGGCGAAACTGCACGAAAGTTCGCAAAATCCGGAAAAAATTGTGGAATCAACAAGCAAATGAAAATATATGTGGATAAAAAAATTACGCTGTCGCGTAATCCGCAACATGCGAGTGGATCCGCAATCCGTGAAAAAACTGTTGTGCCGAGAAAATTTAGGTTAAACAAGCTTGATCGAGATATCCACAGAAATTTTATAAATATATTCCACTTACATTTTGGAAAAAAATATATAAACTTGTCTCTGGATTCCAGTGACCTACAGGCACCAACATTTTCCTGACATTTTCCATCGTACCTGACATTTTCCTGACATTTTCCTGACATTTTCCATCGTACAAGGCTTCTCAAACAATAACGAACGAACAATTCCATATAAATAGTAAAACTTATGAAATCTCTAAGATAAGCATTTGTTCATACTTGCATTTGTTTTTAACAAGCTCATAGATTGATGAAGCGATCGGCCTATTTGCTATTGCATAGGTGGGTGTTTTTCTGGCTGATTTTTTTTTCTGACAGGCCTCCGGTACCACTTTAGTTCCATGTCGCTTTTATTGTTACCCGCAGAATTGGAACTGGGACTGAATTTGAGGCCCGGGCCCGGGTCTGTTTTTAGTGAAAAAAAAAATAATTTTCCGAACAAGAAAGAAATTGAAATTCAAATGTGAAAATTAAAAAATCAAAATTTAATAAGTCCATTAGCTACAGCCGATCCTAACATTTTGAAACGGCTGATTTTTGCCGCAGAAAGGAGGGCAAACTTGGTTGTTCGGATTTGTCCAGCTCTGCTTAAGTTACGCTGGTTCTGGATGCTTGTAACTTGAACAGAAAGGAGCTGCCGTCTGACGCGGGCGAGGTACGTTGAATTTGCGTCAGAATGTCAAAGCAGGGGAAGGTATCGTTTGCTAGAGGGTGAGCTGACAGAGGGAGTTACTGGCCGACAAGTATCACGGTGACGCTTCATATGACTCGTACCAGAAAAAGGATTAGCAATCAGAACCTTCACATCATGAAACATTTTCTGGCATTTCTTCGCAAATCGCCAATGCCGCATTTGAAGTTAGCTATCACACTTTATAATTGTTCTGAGTCTGCTAAAAAACCGGTCTGCTAAAATACCTAGCACCGTGTGTTTTATATACCCTATCACAGAATTGTTATTGAGTCTCCGTGCAGCAAGCTGTCAATACATCCAAAGGTGTCAATGGACTCTAAAAGGAGTTTAAAGGGGTTAAAGAAAGGCTAAAGGTGTGAACGGTAGCCGCAACAGGTGTAAAGTAAAGTGTCGAAAGGTGTAAGTGAAGTGTGAAAGGTGTTAACAGAAGTGTGAAAGGTGTGAATTCTTTTGAAAGTGAGGCACGTGGAAAAACAATCAAAAAATTTTGTACTTATCAGGCGGTGTTCACCCCACGTCATCAATGATGTTGTATAAAGTGAGCTTTTAAAAATACTGGTTCCAGCATTGACCTGCCGAATTTCCTCTCATTAATTTGGTAATGAACGCATGACCAAACATGACCTCCTACTGGGCATGCACTCCTTCTAATTTTTCTGACTAACGCATTTTTGAACAGCATGGCTTGGCCCAGTCTAGTGTCTTTTTGTTTTCATTGTTTCTCAAAATAACCCGTTTAAGATTCAATAGAGTTTTTTTGGTCGATCGTAAATGTTTTAGCATTTTTGGCCCAAATAAAATTCCCGAAGACAAGCACACTCTGTCGAACCTCTTTGCTAGGCTTTTATAAATCGGACAGAAGATTAGACGATTTATTATCTCCAAAATTTCTTCCTCTGCCTTTGTGGCAGGTCTTGGCAGTTTGGCTAGTCACATGGTCTCTCAAAAGATACTTGTAATTTTTGAACACGGCCTCCTGGTTCGTGAGCGTTCTATACAACTAAAAAAAATGCAGACTGAAGTACTGAACGTATGGCAGTCTTGGAATTAATTGATCAAATACAACATCTTATAACAGAGCAAGTACAATAAAACTGGCCCAAGTAGGTTCCAAGTCGACAGAACTCATTACAGTTTTGAGTAAAACTGACTGTTTCAATTAAAGACGAGATTAAAGCTTCATCTACCAAAACAGCGACTACATTTGTTTTGAACAAAGTTGGTAAGTCTGCAAATGTGGCACATGTCGTATTTCAAAAAGTAATTGAGCAAGAAATGGTGGAATTAATCGTAACCCGTAGCCGTAATGTTTGCTCTTGTAGGTTGTCGTTCGTTGTAAAGTCTCTAATTAGCGTCGTTAGTTTTTGCATGAGACCAAATAAATAGATCTCAGCAGATTAATGCCCTCATAGTCTTCAACCAATAAATTCTGAAACTATTTTTTTGTCATTTTATCTGAAACGTGCAATAAGATCGTTAAGATAAATGATACAGACTTTTGTCATCCCCAGAAATTTCATTCACGTCATGATTTGCATATGCAGTTTTGATTGGTTAATATGGAACTAGTTTAAAACTAGTGTTTTTTATATCCAATTATATTCTTGATAAACTCTCCGTAAAATACTTAGAACTAACCAATCATTATCCATAACTAACCTTTACAATAATTTGTAAGGCTCAAACTATTTATAGTTTCAGCCAGAACAGAATAATTTTAACTTATCAAACAGTTGCGCTCCCTAAGTTCAATTCTTGATTCTAAACCTCGCGACAATACCAGTATACATTAGATCTATTGAGACTAGGAGATTTAAGAGTAAGATTAGGATTGGTATTAGACTAAGAAGTTTCACGAATCTATCCGGCCGAAAATAAGATAGCGTGACGAACAGACGGTGTACCTTATCTGAAACTACTCTACGAGTGAGCCACCCCGGACTTAAACTCAAATAGTTCTTTCGCATTGACCGCCCCTACCTAAAACAAGGCCAAACAATAGAAAAAAAACTGGAGTTGATATTTAATACATTGCCGTGGTCCAGAAATATTATGAAGTTTGCAATTGAATCGAAAAATTAGTTGAAAATTCTCGCTGCAGTAGTTGAAAATTGAGTTAATTCTTCCGAACCAAATTAGAAGTAGAAAAATATATTTTTGTTTATGTTTGAATTATTCTTGAAAAATTTTTTGATTTTTTTTCAGCTGCAGTACTTGAAAAATTGGGTTATTTTCTTCGAAGTAAATTAGAAATAAAAAAAATTTAGTTTTGTTTATTCAACACCCAGTCCAAAAAATTTTACATCACATGTTAATGAATGAGTAAATAATAGTTTGAGAGTTTTTCAAAATTCAGAAACCAGATAATAATTGTATATCAAAACTACTTATTACAACAATTACACAAATCCCTCGATGGCCAGGGACGACTCTTCAGATGCCACAGGAAGCTCGAAACTCATGTGAGTTTTGTTCTTCTTCTGCTGAGAAGAGATAGAGGAAACAAAAGTAGCATTGAGTCGAGTGGTCAAGAGCATCTTTAGATCTTTTGCGATTAACGCAGTATCTCGAGGACTTCCGTCGCAATTTAATCTTGGTACGAAAGATGCAGCAATTTTCATGAGAAGAAAAACTTGAGCAATGAAGCGATGTTTTCTTCCTTTTTTTCCAACCCTAACTTGAGGAAAAAGAGCGTGGTTGTTTGAAATTTTAATTTCAAAGATCACCGTTTTGAAGAGTCTTTTATCTAGCCTCGGATATCTGTCAAGAAGAAAGCAGTCGGCAATCGAAGCCCAGTCTGAATTTTCAGAAATTGTACTCAACTGTTTCTTTGTTTTAAGTGACCTTTTTTTGAAGACTGCCAATGTGTTTGAGCCAGACTTTGCTTTCAGGTAGTTGTCAAAGATGTTTCCTGGGTCAACTACTTTTGGCTTCTGATGTAATTTCGGTATTCCTCTTATGTCCAGAGAATGATCAATTGAAAGATCTTTCCATTTAGCAATTTTTCCCAAAAACTTAGTAAAGGCCTCCAGCAATGTCAGGTTTGAGTTACAATCGCTTGCAATGATGGAAATCAATGATGATAAGCCCTTCATTTTAACAGCTTTGTTTATCAAAGCCCAAAATTTTGCCAGGCGTGCCACTTCAGTATTTAGAGCCGGTTTTTGGGTCATCAAGTAAGAAGAACGCTCCATAACAGAAACTGATATGATCTCTTTCTTCAAAATTTTGTTTTGATCAGCTTCACTTTTGCCAAAATTTGAAACAGCTCTCATAACTCTTTCGCTTTGAAGATCCGCACGTTTCTTCTCTCCAGAAGCTGAATTCTCAATCCGATCGCTTTCTGTAATTGTATTAACGCCAACTACAATATCTGCAGTAAGACTATAGTTATTCCACTCTAACTTAGCCCATTTGCAACCATTTGGAAATTCAACCGTTATTTCTGGTAAATTTTTAGCCAAGTTGAGCTCCCACGATCTTACAACTCGCTTCTCAAGGTCATCAATTCTCTGTTCCAAATTGATTGGATCCCAGAACTGCTCGTCTACATTTACAAACGCCACACAGTCAAAATCCAGGGTCGCCCAGCAACTCGTTTTCTGCTCGTCTCCGCCCATAATTCGGATTCTGTCGTAAAAGATATTGTCCGAGCATTTTTTAATAGCCTCAAACACTTTTTGTACTTCTCGATGTCCGAATGCACGTGCGGCAGGTAAAGGTCCCAGTTGCTCTGCAAATGCTTTCAGAGCTGCTTTGGAAGAAGGTCGTACTAGTAGTGACATCTTTCCGAGAGCTAAATCAAAGCCAATCTGATTAATAATGAAAGTATGGGTGCTCAAAATTAAATGGTTAGCCAATCAAACGGAATTTAGATCACCTTTCCGACCAATTGAAACATGCAAGCTTCGCCTAATGCTATGATACAATTTTGCTACAAATCTTCAAATTATTGGCTATTCCAATGATTTATAAGAAACATAATATATCAAAACAAGCAATGATGTCCCTGATGACTAAAAACTTATTACGATTCAATTTGCAATTAAAAAACCCTAATTAATCATTTGTATGCAAAACAAACAAAACTACACGTTTTCAAGGCGATCCCCTCAATTTTTTTTTCAAACAAATTATCAAACAAAATAGTACAAGAGTGATAAATTCAGCATCTAGTAAGGTATTAATTAACGTATTAATTTCACAATTTGGTCTAATTGGTACTTTTCAAACACTCCAACACTGCACACAAAGATCACAAAAAAAAAATGTTTTTTTTAGACATTTATTGCATCTATCTATATAGTATAACATAATCTCATCAAAACTGATTACATAAAAAGTCGAAAGTCGACTGAAAACCCCCAGTGCACATATATTCCGTTGTTTTCTCGAAAGTCGAAACAAAAAAGAAATAAGAAACTACTTATTAACCTTTTTTTATTGCATGAAAAAACCTCAATTCACATATTATGAGTTACATCCAACAATTTTAAGCATCACCAATGAACTTAGGAACTTCGAAATGCTAAAGTTTTAGGCTGAAATAATACTCGAAGCACAAGGTGGTGAAATAAAGAGTTCAATTAAATCCAATTAAGTTATAGAGCTGTCTTTTTCAAATTTAAATCATACCACCCCATTTTTTTTACATCAAGCAAAATAAATCTTGCTGAAGTTTTTTAGACCAATTTTCTTTTATAAGTTCTCAGGTGAACAACCTTTGGTTTTCTGAATGAAAGCAAGGATAAAAAAAGTAAGCCAATTGCATCTCCCAAATTAAATGGAAAAAACGACTTACAGGAAAATGGAACTAATGAAAATAATTTTCAATTGATCGTGCTTGATTTTCGTTTAAGTTTTATTGAAACAAACAACAAAATCTTAGTACAATATACGATTATTTTTTAAAAACCGAGCAAAAGCAAATTCATTGACTGGCGTTAAAGATTTTGGTGAGGTGATTTATTGAGGCTGATACTCCGACATGAAGTCAGACAATTTATTATTTAAAAAACATGATGGAAGATTTTGACTAAAAAACTAATCTGTCTGCTAAGACTCCTTAGTGCTAGTATATACAAACTGCCCAGCAGTAGCGGATTTATAGGGACGCTCTTTTCTCATAATTTTGCCGAAACGCAAGCCAAAGGATAACCATTAGGATATTAAAAAAAAAATTGAAAGAGCGCCTGCGGCACCATTCTCTTTGTAGTGTATATGAAACAAAAAAATTGAGATGGGAAAAAACCTAGAAATAACAACGAGGCCATCGTTGAAGTCACATTTCTGATTCATTCTAGATTTGTAGCAGATAATTGTTAGCAGGAGCCAGTTTCTATCATCACTATGAATACCACGTCCCAAGCTATCTTGTTCACTTTATGAACCTTTTCACTGGAATTTACACTGTTCTCTGAAGAAGTCTCTTGACTTCAATTTTACTCTTGACCATGTCAAGGAAGCCTACCCCCAAGGTTTTGCTGCAAGACGCTGAAAACAATCTCCGGCCACTGGACCAAGTTGGCCATACTACTTGCCTCGTCGAGTTCAAGTAGTCCATAGGCGTCTGAATGAAACTTTTTGGTCTACTCGCTGATTCGTGCCGGCTTCTTTGTTCGCTTCTGCTTATTCTTTGTTGACATGGTTGGGATGAAGTAATAAAGTATCTAATGGAGTATCTAGCGAGCACGGGATGGTGAAAGCAGTCGTTGCTACCAAAAGGTCTATACTGATTCTGCTGGTTTTTTGACATCCAATGAGAGGGTTTTTGGAGCCGAGACCTGCTGCTACATCAGCCTGCAATCACGTCCGTCAGACAACCTAACTGCTCTTCATCAAAAAAGTGATGTTGGAATCTTGTGTCTTTGCTCGAAAGTATGCAAGTTCGTCCCTTGCCGAATAGAGATAAAAAGTGGAGCTAACCTACCACTAATGTTTCGCACAGTTAATTGATCTTTCTCCAGTATAAATACTTCTTAAATCACAATCGATTTTGTTGCTCAACAAATGTAAAATACAAGTTTGAACAATTGTTTCATATAAGAGGAGTAGCCGAGCGTATACACAGTGAGCTTCGACGGAATCGACATACGCCAAACTTGACGGAACATTAATTTACGCTCAGTAACTGGGTTAAAAACCCCAAGAAACATTTTCTGTTTTGTTTAGCTATCTAAATTATTTCATACAACGGCCTTGGTCGACTTTGATTGACAGGTTTTCGTCTGTCAAAACCGTGATTTATCAAAATAGTGAACGCACTTATTGCAAAAAATTGGTGCTTTGGGACAGAATTAGATATTATTGTTGGTCTAAAAGCTAAGTACTGAAAAAACCGTTTCTTTGTTTAAAAATTATATTTTTGACGATTAAAATTATTGATGCCGACTCAATAAACTAATTGCCCGACAGCAATTTTAAACGACCAGAAGCAAAACACAATTTGTTGCCACGACCCGGGAACTTGTCGAAAGTTAAATAGACCCGGCACCAAGAAAAACGTGGAAACAAGTAGCGTTTAAATTACGACACACATGGAAAAACAGCAACTGTGAGTTTGAAGCGGATTTGGTCTAGCCCAAGCTCTTTTAGAGCTGTTTCAACCCATTAATTCAACAATCAGCTTACAAAAAACGGAGGCTTTTTGAATAGTTTGATTTCAAATGACAGTGGCCAGTTCTCTGTGTAGAGATCAGTTCCGAACGAAAGCATTTAGAAGTTCCCTGAGCAGTGACTACCAGTTCATTCTTTACACAGACGAAAATTATCAGAGTTGAGTCAATTACGGAGTCCTTTTTTAACGGGTGTCGAGAGCAGAGTGACAGAGGCCCGACATACAAGTGCGGAAACTTCAGAGGCCTTTTTCGAACGGGTGTCGAAAGCTGAGAGAATGGGGCCTGACATTAAGGTTTGGAGACCCGGGTTGACCAAAATGTGCAACCATACGTCGCACCATGCATGGTTCCATGGAAGCCATGAAGAAATGCCGACGTATTTTTATGTGAAAATAACACATTTTCCATGCATGACGCGACGTACGATTCCACAATTTTTAAAGTATGGGGGACTTCAAATTAAACAATATTGATACTTTTACTAGGGATGTTGAAAATTTATATGTCATATATACACTTGCGATGGAAGCTTGCAATGTATGGTTACTATGGTATCATGCATGGCGCGACGTATGGTTACAACGAAATAAAAACCAAATTTTAAAATGTCTTGTGGTAATCGGACACGGTTTGTTTAAAACAGAGTTTTGTTTGTATTTCGATTCAAGACGTACCAAATAAAGCTTTGCTCCGGAATGAGAAAAGCAGAAAATTGAAAATAAAACATTTTTCACCAATCTTCACGCATTTTTTTTTCCAAAAGTATCTTCTCAGCTTACCCCCTCAAAATTTGAAAATGCAAATAAACCTCGAAATATACGAAAATTTCGTCAATTTTGGATGTGCTGTTACCTGCTCTATTGAAGTTGTTTTTGTAAGGAAACATCATTTCCATGAATAGCGCCATTTATGGTGCGACGCATGGTTTGCATGGTAGAAAAAAATAAAATCAAATAAAAGTGTATTTTGCACTACAGATACTTTTTCTCAGTCATTTTTGTCAAATAACCTCTATTTTACGGTTTTCTAGAGAAAAAAAGTATGGTGAAAAATCTATTCCATACGTAGCACCATATATGTTGCGACGTATGATTTGCATGGTGAAAATTTTTGATAATTTACCAACAGCTTGCATAACGATGAGAAACCTTTTTATTACTATTTTACTCCGTTAAAAAGCTATTTTGAGCGTTTTCGGAACCAGCATGTGTGCTACGTATGATTAGTCATTTTCCATGCAAACCATGCATGAATGTGCATGGTTGCGCATTATCTTCTATGGTGGGCAACAAGGCGGCCTACGGAGGCCTAACAAACGGGTTTAAAGACTACAAATGCCTGAAAATGTGGGTATCGCAAGGATGTAGTGTTGTAAACTCGTGGCTACCAGGATGGAATTGTGATGAGCTGCTCAACTGGTATTGACTACCCAGAGAAATTTACTGAAAACTGTAAGAAGCACGCAACCCCTTTTTTCATCTTTTCGAGAAAGTCAAGAAATTAGTTCAAAAAGAACTTTTTGTGGTAGAGAACCTGGTTGCGTAGTTAAGTGATTTATGTTTACTTAAGTAAAAGCTTATTTATGTGTAATTTTTTTTTGCAACATTTTGGGCCAAAAACATGGACCCTATATAAAAGCAATTTATATGGTTTTTTGTGAATTTTTGGCCAAGACTTTGGACCAAATTTGTTCGATCCTGGTAAACGTCCGCTTATCAAAAAACTACAAGAAAACCAAATATATAATTTACAAATGGACTTGTCAACAAAACGTAACGCCTTCGAACGGAACGTTAGAAAATTTTGGACTAGTTTATATCAATTCAAATACCCCATTCGTATTAAATAGTTTAAGACCAGCGACCTCAAGTTTAATCCGAGTGGTTAGATCAATTTACTTAGCCATACAAGGTCTAAGTTTTAACCCGAACGCCGTTAATCCCCGTAAGACTGTAAAACTCTAACTTGACTCATTGTTATACCATCACTCGAATACCAAGATTTGGGACGACGTCATGAATAAGTCAGTTAGTAGGCATCGCAGCAAAAATTTGAAGCCTTTATCCGAAGATAAACTTAGTGACATATTCATAAAACGCTATCAAGCGAAGATTAGTGCCATCGTGTTTTGTCAACGCAACGGAACTGAGTAAATAATCGGGAAACTAAACAGTTCAGG